GAATTATGCGCCTTGTATCCCTTGAAACCCCCCCCCCCATCACCCCCCTCCGCCTCCCCCATGTGACACCAAACCACTTTCCCTTTTCTTTTTCTTCTCCTTTTTTTTTTTCCTCCTCCTTTTTTAAGTACCCTGTCAAACCGCATCCGATGAGAGGAGAATTTCAGCTGTCACAACTAATTTCGGCGCGTGTGTGTGTGAAGGTGTGCGTGTCTCGGGTGGGGGGAGGTGGGTGATGGAGGCATAGAATCACTCCTTTCTTTTTTTTCCCTTTTTTTTCCCCTCAAAAGGAAGATTTAAATCAGAAATTTGTTTCTGGAAGTGTTTAAGGCCTATAGTTTCCTTCTTTTCAATTGCTGCCTGATGTCTTCTTCTCGCCGGGCTCCCTCCCGGCCGTCCCTGCCCATCCAGCGTCGGGGCTCGCCGTCACCCTCCTGGCAGCCTGGTCCCTCGGCCTCTGCCTTGCCCAGCGCCGAGGAGGCGCCTCCATCTCTTGCCAGGGCTTGAGATTCCCCAAACTCAGCTCTCCCGGCCCCGAGCGCCGCGCTGGGTCTGGCAGCGGAGGCTATGGCTTCTCTCTGCCGGCATCCCAGCACCGGGGGTTTTCGGCTTCAGATCTGGTCACCTTTTTTTGCAGCCACTTTGAGGTTGGCGTTAGCTGGAGGGTCACAGGGTGAATCCTGCTCAGGGCAGGGCATCCCCGAGAGCTGAGTGGGGTTGTCAGGGGGATACCCCCACCCGGGACCCGCCTGGGGAAAGGGGCAGCTGGTGCTGAGCCTGTTGGGTCTTCGCAGGCAGGGCTGGGAGGGGAAAACGCCCCTCAATCCAGCAACGTCTCCGGGCTGTTTGCAAGAGAGGAAGAAGCAAAGCCCTGGGCGCTCTCTGGCATGGCTGGAGAAGTTGCCTCCACCATGGCCAGAAGACGACGGGGAGGCTGCGGTGATACAGATCCTCTTAAAATCCTTCCCCACTGGGCTGTGTTCCTTTCTCCTAAAATAAATGGGTGTTTTGCTTAAGAAAATGATCCCGAGTTCTGAAAGGAGGAAAGGCTGGTGATCAGCAAGCCCACTGGGGCAACGTCGGTGACCGGCAGCAGACTGTGCATCCCGGTGAAGAAGCACGTTCCCTGCTCTTGGAAAGCCACCAGATAATTTCATCGGCCTCAGCAATTCCCACCTACTCACGTAGGCGCAAACGAGATGCATAAAACTGGAAAGGGCAAGAAACAGCTGAGAAGGAACGCAACACAACTTGGGTCATAGTTTGAATTTTGAATTTAATACTGGGTGGGTTTGGGAAAGCGGAGCTGGGATTAAACTTGGACTATTGCAGGCTGCAGCGGCAGCGCCGGGTAGGAAACCCAGTGGGCACAAACCCTCCCAA